TCCGATAGTCGATTAGTACCATCAGTTTAATCGGCTTATTACGTGGTTCGAATCAGCTGGGAACAAAACCAACGAGAATATGCAATGTAGCAGGTCAAATGTTGTGGCGGAGGGGGGGGGGAGTTCTACAACCAAAACGACAGATAGAAAAGCCCGAATCTGGAGATATAACCAGGTCGGTGAACCACTTACATTTCATCTAGGGAAGTTGGCTAAAACAGCGATTCAAGAATTGCTGTGCAAACCACATCCACACCTCACGTTTGGCGTTGAACACAGGCTTGATTGAGTATCAAGCTGCAATGAGCATCTTGGATATTTGACCATAAATACTTTGTGCCTTTGTGCAATTACCTCATGCGTGAAGAATAATGGGCCATTTGGATGTCTCTGATATCAACTATCCATGCGTTGCGATCTGCGGGAAGGCCGGAACAAATTCAGTTATTGGGCGAGTCGTACACCCTAACAATTACTACAAAACCTAAGCCATCTACACCCGACTTGACTGAACCAACCCACATCTTTAGATGGCACCTGGCACCAACGATAGACTTTTCCTCGTGACCTCTGTTATATATATATATATATATATATATATATATGTATAGAGAGAGAGAGAGAATCGGTCTTTGGGGTAGTCTGATAGAATTGGTGACAGGGCACAGCATTACGTACACCGGAATCAAGCTGGACGTCCGTCGATTGATTCCCGTTGGGGCGGATGGACACTAGCGTTGAACAATAGTGCGAGATTATAAACATATCAACGTGTTTCTCGGGCACCCCATTGGTATTTTTCATACTCCGGAGTAACTGTTTATTTTCGGAATTACTTGCAGCACGAAAATCGAGAAAAGAGCCTGAAGTTGCTCGATGCAATTTATCGCGGTGTTTAGGGATTCGTCCTGGCATAATCACACTTTCCTTGAGAAAATACTAATCTGGATGTGTTCTTGTATCACGTTTAGTGACAGAGCTGTTAGGCCTGATGGCAGAGGAAAATGTGTTGCCGTATCAACGAGGTTAATGCTCTTTGTGATTTTCCATAAGACTTTGTTACTTTTTTGGTATTAGGAGTAGAATTGGTCTCGTCCCGTCGTGAAAATAAAGCTAGGCAGATTTTGAAGACAGATATTATTGACTTCAGATGGAATACCGTCTCCTGAGGGGATTTTTATATTCCATTGTCATCACTGACCGAAGATTTCCAGTTTTTTGTTTGCCCAGATCGATTTCGTTTGCTCGTTGACATCTGGGAGAGGGAGAGAAATTGACCAGATGACTAAAGCTTGCAACCAATATTCATTTTTTTCGTTTGTCGATTTCAGGCTACCCTTATCGTGTCGCAGTAAAGAAAGCGGAGTGGCATCATTCATGAAACAGAGCGAACAAATCAAAAAGTCTAGCAAAGTCTTTAACATCTGCGGCTATTTCTGTCCTTACTGCGTGTGGATATCAAACTCGTTTAGGAGCGTTCTTCAAAGAGTCTTTGGCTTCGAGATGAAGATAGTGCAACAGAAATTCGCTGCTTTTGGTGCAAAGAAGTTGTTCCAGTTGTTCAAGGACTGCTTGCTTGGTAGACAATTTTAGCGCTGAACATCGTACTACATCATTATCGATGGAAATTGCGGGTAGTCTGGAGGCGGTAGTATTTGATAACGCTTGGTAATATCCAGAATTGCTAGCTCCAAAGCATTCATTCCGCCGTGTGGGTAACAATGCTGTCGCATGAGATGGGTACGTATTATCGTGGGGTCAGAACCATTTGATTGTTCGCATTACAGGGAAGGGGGTGGTACACCCTATAGTTCTCGATCGACGAAGCCTTGCGAAAAAGTCCAATATCAATCAAAGAACTGAACACCGGCTCCTGATAAATTACTACCTTTACATACCACTCAAATGCGTTGAGGTTTAGTCTTTAACTAGTCAGAGGCGCCGTTGGCCAATCGGCAAGAAAACTTGCCTGCTTTGACCCTGGATAACTTGACCCCATTCCGCTCACGAAGAAACCATTTACTAATATATTTATAAAGGTTTCTTTGGTACACCGTTGGAGCTCAGTCAAATATGAAATTTGATATAGTAAAAAACTGGTTGAGTGTTTCATTTTGACTCTTACTATTTTACTGATGATACCGGATAAGGGAAGTCAAGTTTAGACACTGATGAAGTATCCACTCATCAACCGGTGTCCATTCGCAACAACAATCAACGTCAGACGACGATTCGATCAAGATCGTTACTGTTGGACACATGTGCACACGCGAGTCTAACGATGGGGCTCAAACAATCTTTTCCAAAATTCAGTCATACGCTTGATGTCGTGATATGTGCTGGCAAAACTGTGACTCGAATGAACGATTAGATGCATAAACATGAAAAATGTCACGTCCGTTTTTCTGACACATTTGACGTGAATCAGAGTGCGAGGACCTGACTGGCGACATACCAATCTCTCCGGAGGGCATGTCCGTCACAATGTATGCATGTCTATGCGCAGTGCGCAATGAACGACATGTTCTGGATAATGCCCTATTACATTGCTATGAATCAATGCTCGCACCGTAAGGTCGTGTATGATGTGGCCACGCATATTCATACGTCAATATATGTGCGTATGCGTACAGGTGGATTAGTAGAGCCTTGAGAATAAACAAGTGCTCCCCTTGAGGGAGTCTGCGAAAGGCTACAGAATGGATCGAGATTCAGTGCAGATGATGGAACTCATTGGAATCGGACTGGAAAAAATAGTCTAACAACTGATTCCTTTGTGATTCATTAATTTGTCGCGATCTGCCTCACAGGGCATTGGAGCACACAAATAAAAAAGGTAATTGGAATTTAATATGTAACTAAAAAGTAAAGGAAAAAGGAAGTTACACGAGCCATAAAAAAAATCAACTAACAAAAAAGCTTTAGCTGATTGCACACTTTTATTACCACTCTAAGATCCATGCTTGATTTTTGAATAGGTCAGCTTATTTAAATTTGCAATATACAATCAAAACGAACTACTATATGGAGCAAATTAATACAAGTATGCGAATTCGAAAATTAATGGTTGTCGGGATCGTTTTTCTACTGAAAACTAGAGTTGATTTAGATATTTTCTAAATGATATGGGATTCAAATTTAATGCCACCGATTCTAACTTGTAAAGTTCACAATTGGCGTCTTGACGGGGGTAAAAAGTTATGATGAAAATGACAAAGTCGTTAAGTGCTACTATCAGTGACAACATTGCGTTGAACATCAGATTTGATTCAAAGTCTAATAAGGGGTCTAATGGGGCGCTAAACCAAAAACCCATTCGTTCCGCAACGGACGGTGAATGGTGAACATTCATATTCATCGGACCGATTAAGCAACGCATGTATGAACTGAGGAAATTACTCACTGGTTTCTTGAGTATAGATCGGGTCCGAAACTTGGACATGCAGTGATTGTGTAACCCGCGCAATCAATATCAAATCTAAACAGATTGAATCACTTTTCATGGCTAAGCATGGAGCAATATCAGAGCACATAAGACCGAGGTTTCGCTTTAACCAATACAAGAATCTGACGTCATTTAGAGACAGAAACCTGTACTGTGGGTATTACCATGGTTACTGAGGCAAACATTGATGGCCCATTTCGGTAAACTAATGGACCACGAATAAACTCACAGTAGCAACAGATATCACGTGGACTTGATTGAGACTGTACAGTTGAAACTGTAAACTGTACAAAGTATCGTTATTTTCCGAGTGGTAAACTATTTGCAGTCTTGTACAATAATTAAGGGTATAGGTAGTCAGGTTCTATAATAAGAATGGTAAAACTTCAGTACTCCTGTCGTGTACCATAACATAGACCCATATGCAATAAAAATACAACCATGTGAAACGGACATAAACTTAAAATCGACGTTACTTTCGTACAGTCATGAATAGTGCTTATTTTTCAAAACTTGCTACTTAAATTGATCAATGTTACACATGAAATGAGTGAACTTAGCAGACGTCTCGTAAGGCAATCACCGTGATTAAAGAGAAACATTAAAGAGTATAAGAAACAGTAAACTAGGCAAGGAAATGGTCTTAAATAACCTCATACAAAGCATTCCAATGAAGATTTTAACTAAAAACAACGGGAAGATTTTGAGTCCATTTGACAAAAGCCTCTCGTAGTTCACGTAGACAGATAAGTGTATCAAGCAATGTAAGAGATGAAATCCACGAGCAATTGCTGATTCCCACGGAAGACATCATGGAATTTCTTCCCATACACTGTACTTTACCCACCATGAGAAAAGAAAAGATTACGGAAGTTATCCCTCAATTGAGAATCGACAAGTGTTATCAATTGAATCGCTATCTTAAACTTTCCAATCTTGATATTCTAGACTCCGGAGTGCATCATACTTCTCATCCCTCGATGATAACCGTGAAGCTTTGGCAGTCTGTTCTTTAGACTATAGCAGTGCATTTGGAATGATATCTACATGATACTCGGAGCACTCACACATTTGTCCATGTGGTTTTAATCACACAGGGCTGACACCACCCACCACATAGCCTTGGAACACACAAAAATAAGGCAAGCTCACAAGATATTGTCTGAGAATTAAGTGAGTATGGACTGCTGACGATTACAAACCTGGAACAACCTGGAACAGCCGCACTACGATTAATTCCTGGTCTTCACAACCAAACGAAACCATCTGTACACAAACAGATCTATCCATTCTCCCTGATGGCTATCCACAAAAAGACAGGATAACGCTTGCAGACTGATTACATAGTTCGACGGCCCGTGAGAACTTCTTTGCTACGAAAATCTAGTTTCCAGCCCTTAGTTTATAACTTACAAGCACCAAGGACAAATATTATGTCTAAATTGCAAAAATAGTTCCTAAGGCAACAACTTGGGCAACTCTATGAGAATATCAGTTGCACGTTATATTCATACATTGCAAAATTCCGAGACCTTAGTAGCCCGTTGGAACTCACAGTCTCGTTGTACTATGCCGTTAGTCATGAAATCCACAACAGCAACTCGCCAACGCTGGCTGACTGTTCCGTAGCCGTAAACTGCTGCAGCCATTGCACGTCCACCCGGTTCAGTCACCAGGCCAGTAAATACAACTGTCTCATCCGCTCGTGCTCGATTCCAGCTCTCGGCAATTGATGGCGTTCCGGATCCAATTTCCTCGGTTTGGTTTGTATTTGTCTCACTCATCGGATGGGAAGAACTGGAAGCTGATACAGTTGCGGCTGTTGCAACGATAACATCTGCAACCGATGCGGTTGTTGTGTTCCCAGCGTTTGTATTATTCATTACGTTTGTTGAGGCCTCTGAGGCAGTTCCATTTATTGTCTTATTGGTTGTGTTCACTGTTGCAGTCGTGGTAACAGACTCATGAACATGCACAGTTATTGTGGTCACATGACTACCGGGCCTGGGTGTTGTCGACGCAGCTACGTTTGTCGTAGTTGTAGTTGNTAGTTGCGTCTGTGTGCCAAGTGCCCGTCCGTAAGGGAATCGTATGCCAGCACCGACCCTCGTCTGTGCTGAAGCGTAAAACATCCGGCCAAAGTGTGTTGGCAGGTACAGCCACTATTAGGCCTCCACGATTGGCGATTTGGTAATGATGAGGTCCATCTAAAGC